CCCCTGGTTTTTATGCTATTCTTTGCCAGTGTCTGTGGTGCATCTGTTAGGCCCTAGACGGTTAGTATAAGAACGTATAGGTTAGGCCTTTTGCCGCAGCAGCCAGAAGACGTGGGTTCGATTTGTTCATATATATCGTTTCCGTGTCTGTGTTCTAGGACGTTGTTGCCTTCTCAATCCCGGGTTTGTGGGTGGTTGGCGGGCGCTCTGATGTGTTTTACTCTTGATCTCCTTTCAAACTTTTGTCGCCCTTATCTAATGACACCTCTAATCTGCGGCATTTAGATATATATGACGTATTTGTGTTGCCAGTGCCGTGAAGCTATTGCTGAAAAGCTAAAACCAGGGTTTGTCCAGGAAAGCAGGATCGAAGCAGCCCACTTCGTAAATGACCTGTATTATGTTGATGGTGGCTTAAAACTTTTTGTCTTCTGTGAAGGCCGCTCACCATCTTACCGCGCTGCATGCTGCAACCCCGACCACCCGTCTCTTTAGGGGATACACCGCTGTCGAAAACGATGACTCTCATCATTTTGTCCTGTCAGCTTTCTACCACATTCGCCTAAATCAATTTCTGGAGACGTTCAGATGAAGCCGTTATTCTGGGAATAAAGGTATCAAGGGACATCTTACAAATTAGTTTCGTTCTACATGTTTGTTCTGTCTAGATTTTAACGGAAAAATGTAACGATTGCCCAAGTCATGATTTAAGCACTCTCTGGTTTTTTAAAAAGGCGAGAAAAAATCTCATGGGCTCAGGTGACGTCGAAAGTGACTCTAGTTCCTAACCATTCTCAGTTTCAGTTGTTATGTATAAATGTACCCCCGTTTTGTCTTGCCCTAGACCGAGAAGACCAAACACAAGGACGTGTGTTCTGAAAATAGATTTTTAAATAATGGGCCGATGCGATGGTCCGGCCCCGCCTGGTCTGTTCCCTCGGCCAAAGACAGTAACCTTCCTTTGAATACTCGATATATAAATATGTAATTGCTTTGAACTAGTTGGATACGAGTAAGGTCTCCGAATGTTTACAGTTTAAAAACTGGAATGACAAAAGTATTGTATAGTTAATAAAGGAAACCCAAAAGAACTCTGCGTTATACAAACAACGATGCCGCATTGAAGCAAAGCATTAGGATGCGTGCATAGTGTGGCCTTCTCGTCCTAGATGCTCAGAGACTCAGATAGTACAGTATAGGAACCTACAAGTCCAGCCCAAGACGGTCAGAGTTAGTATAAGAACGTATAGGTCCAGCCTCATGGTAAGTCGCTTTAATTATATAGCAATATCCGGATAATATATTAGTGCACTGCTTCGGCGATTTAATGTGTTACGAACCGCTTCGGCAAATGGGTAAGAACCATTTCAACAAATGGGTGCACCCACTTCGGCAAACGGGTCATGAAAGAGAGTTTAAGAGTCTGAATTCGGATAATGTTTCACTGAGAATTATCCGGTTATCCGGATTTTGCCCACCACTACCTCATGGGCCTTTCCGCAGATAGGAACTACCGCTTGGATAGCTGTAGTTTGTTTTTTAAAAATGGCGTAAGGTGACTACTTATTATCTTTTGTCGAAATTGTTAGTGGAACATCTATAACATTATCCCGGTGGTCTGTTATTGCCTTTTTAAGGAAAGTTAGTGGGCGATATCGCCCGGGTTGGCAAGTACTGGTTTAGAGCCAGGGAGGAGTTTATACACTTCCTGTACATGTTTGCGAATACCCCC